TTTGTACCCAGTCTATCAGCCTAACCAGATGGCAGGTTATGTGATATGTGAGAAGACCTGGTAAGGATATCCTTACTGAGATTTTGGGTAGGCTGAGGAGGTGAAACTTCAGTTTAGGACATTTTGTTGGCCCAGATAAATTTGGCAAAGTTAGAACTGACCTGTTGTAATGATGTAGGGATGCGTATGGGAAGGTGTACAAGAGATATTAACATTTTGGGAGAATTGATATTTTCAGGAGATTGTTCTGCCCAAACCAAGAGCACATCCCCACATCTCATTTATGCAACAAATCACAGAATTTGAGGAATGCACCTTTTACATGCCTCACACAAAAGAGCTCTCAGAAGACCTACGATCAAGAATTGTTGACTTGCATGAAGCTGGAAAGGGTTACAAAAGTATCTCCAAAAGCCTTGATGTGCATGTGTCCACGGTAAGACAGACTATCTACAAATGGAGAAAGTTTAGCACTGTTGCTACTCTCCCTAGGCGTGGTTGTCCTGTAAAAATGACTGCAAGAGCACAGCGCAGAATGCTGCATGAGGTAAAGAAGAATCCCAGAGTGTCAGCTAAAGACCTACAGAAATCTCTGGCACATGCTAACATTTTTGTTGACACATCTACAATAGGGAAAACATTAAACAAGAATGGAGTACATGGGAGGACACCACGGAGGAAGCCATTGCTGTCCAAAAAGAATATTGCAGCATGCTTGAAGTTTGCAAAAGAGCACCTGGATGTTCCACAGCGCTACTGGCAAAATATACTGTGGACAGATGAAACCAAGATTGAGTTGTTTGGGAAGAACACACAACACTATGTGTTCAGAAAAAAAGGCACAGCACACCAACATCAAAACCTCATCCCCACTGTAAAACATGGCGGAGGGAGCAACATGGTTTGGGGCTGCTTTGCTGCCTCAGGGCCTGGACGGATTGTTGTCATTGATGGGAAAATGAATTCCAGAGTTTATCAAGACATTTTGCAGGAAAACGTACGACCATCTGTCCGCCAACTGAAGCTCCGCAGAGGATGGGTGATGTAACAGGACAATGACCCAAAGCATACAAGTAATTCAACAAAACAATGGCTGCAACAGCACAGAATACGCCTTCTGGAGTGGCCCAGTCAGAGTCCTGACCTCAACCCGATTGAAATGCTGTGGCATGACCTTAAGAGAGCGATTCACACCAGACATCCCAAGAATATTGCTACACTGAAACAGTTTTGTGAAGAGGAGTGGTCCAAAATTACTCCAGATTGTTGTGCAGGTCTGATCTGCAACTACAGGAAACGTTTGTTTGAGGTTATTGCTGCCAAAGGAGGGTCAACCAGTTAAGTCCAAAGGTTCACATACTTTTTCCTCCCTGCACTGTGAATGTTTACATGTTATGTGCAATTAAACCATGGCAACATCTAATGTTTGTGTAGTATTATGTTCAGCAGACTGTGTTCTTCTATTGTTGTGACTTAGATGACGTTCAGAGCACATTTTATGCCCAATTCATGCAAAACTCCACGTAATCCCAAGGGGTTCACATACTTTTTCTTGCAACTGTATTTGGTTTAGGTCAATTATGCAAGATATAACTAGAAGGCAATTTGCCAGAAGCTTGAGGACAGTGTATAATAGGGAAATAGGGCAGTAGCTGGCACCAGGAGAGGGGTCTTTCCCTTCTTTAGTTATGACAGTTATGTGCCCTAAATAAGTCCCTAAAGATAAGGAAGTGGCCCTCATTTAGGGCTTTAAGGAAGTGTGGTGTTAACTGGGACATACATGTCTTGTAGTACAAAAGTGTGAAGTCATCCAGCCCAGGGGATTTGTCAGGTTTGGTGGAGCAGATGACTGTGTCAAGTTCCTTTTATCAATATGAGTGTTTCTAGGTCCTGTGGCAGGATAGAGTCTAAGGCTACTTTCACACTGATCTGTAGTAAATAAGAGGCAAAATACACATATGCATTTTTGCCGCATTTTTCCCACGTTTGTGGCACGTTTTTTACAGGACACGTAACTCAAACAACACACCAAAAACGCAATTTTCTAATGCAAAAGTGGAAGGAAAACTGATCCATGTGAAAGCAGCCTAACTTGGGCATATTAGATAAGAGAAAGTATGTATTTGTCTTCCTTATGTATAAGTTGGGGTATTGTATCTCTTGTTGTTACCTCCGAGGCTCTAATAAAAGGAATAAAAAAGCCAAAAGCATTCACAATCTCTTGGTGGTGCACAGCTTGATTCATAGTAGTAGAGATGAATGGGACATAACATGTGACTTGTTGGGCCTTAATAGATTTAGCTAAGAGATGGCCACATTTTTTTTCCCTGTTCGTAGAACAGTTTGTAAAACCGAATGAGGGGGTGGCCTTGGCTTTGTAGGAATGAAGAAGGGTAACGTGGTGCCTAAAAGATGTCCGTTCTTTCTCTGTGTGAGTGATCTTCAGTTAATAATCATCTGTAAGGAGTTGGCTAAGTTTAGCTTCCCTTCCACTTTTGACTGTAGGTGCTTGACTAATGGATGAGTGGTTTGTGTGCTTCCCGCACTAAGATGAGGTTGCTATCCTTAGTTTAGGTAATAGAAAAATACAGGGATTGGACACAATTATGAAAACACCAGGTAAAAGAATTAAATGGTTACCTAATATGGTGTTGGTATATATTAAATAAAAAACAATGTGCGCTATCAAACTAGTGCATAAGCTAATGAAATAGAGCCGCTGCAATAACACTTAAAAGATGATCCCACACTTAAAACATAAAACATACATAAATAGTGTTGCGCTAACTCATATAGACATAATAGTTCATAAACAGATTCAAACATGATAGTTCAATCCAAATATGAAATATAAATATACATATAAAGTGCTTGAATGATGAAAATCAATTAAGGTGCTTGAATGGTGAAGAATCACTACAATGTGCTCTGAATAAAGTAAGTCTATTTGAAAAACACGATGTTCCACCTTAACTCAATGCTCCTCCACCTAAAAATATATATGGATGGCCGCTCACCTCCTACTGTGGACCTATAAATTAATACAGGTCAACGAAGCATGGTAATTCCAAAATGATGCTCTAGATGACAGCAGAGAGCTGATGACAGGCACCACCTTCAATAACATTATAAAATGGGACTCTTCTCAGCTCAACTCCACATATAAAAAGAACAGAGGATATCTCCCATAGTGTAATACTGTTTTAATTCCACATAAAATAATTCCAGAGTGTCACTCACATGATAGAAGCAGTAAAATAGCGATTTGCAATTCAAAACTTCCACTCTGTAAAAAAGCCGCCAATGACATCACTAGGCTCTGACCCCACTCGTTATGCCACCAGCCACGTGGCTTCGTCAGGGAAAACCTGGTAATATGGTATTGGACTGCCTTTTTTTTCATTCAAGATGGCCTGAATTCTCCTGGGAATTGACAGATATAAGTCTTGGATGGTGGATAATGGAATCTGATACCACTCTTCATGCAAACATTGTTCAGGTTCTCGCAGAGATGCCAGAGGTGGAAAACAAGTCCGAACCTTGTTCTCCAAAATTTACCTTAGTGGCTGTATGATATCGAGGTCAGGTGACTGCTGTACCCAGGGAAAGTGTGGGACTTCGTCTGCATGCTCATCAAGCTGCAATTTGCCAACACCAGCTGTGTGAATCAGGGCATTATTGTCCTGGTAAGTGGCGCTGTATTCAGGAAACATTGTCTGCACCATAGGGTGAACATGGCCATGTTCCCCCACACATATACACGTCCGGTGGTTGGGAACAGTGTGAAGCTTGATTGATCGGACCATATTAGTCTTCCATTAATCGATAACCTTTGATACTGTACCTCATGACACGGCAAATAGATTGGAACAGAGGCACCCGCTAAGCAGGCACCAACAATGTGCCCTCTTTGAGACTCAGTAAGCTCTGACATGACTCCATATTTGTAGCAGCGCATGCAGTGACTGACGAAAGTGAGGCTTCCCACCTGTTAGCTAGGTGTCGCATCACACAGTGGAAGCAAGAGTGTTATATCACTTCTGCTTTCAACACAAAACATGTCATCATTTTCACATCTGCAAATCATGTAGTGTTTCCATATTTTTGTCCAACTCTTGTATAAGCCTAATTCTCTAACTATATCATTTTGGATTTGGGGTTCTTGAAGTAGGCTGTCATTTAGACACCAGTATAATGCCCTGGGGGTTACTGTGGAAGATAGCTGTAGTTGAATAGAGACAGGGGCATTGTCAGGCACCATGATGTTGCCTATGTCAACTGTCAGAGGGATGTCATTAGGCCAATTCAAGAAGAGGTCTATGTGTGAGAATATTACATGTGGAGAGGAGTAAAACATAGTCCCGTTCAGCGTTTAAAGATGTCATCTTGAATTTGTCCATGAGGCCACCCGAGAATTGGGGAGAAAAGAATAGGTGAAGAGATGGGTGGGGGGGATAGGGTGAAGTGGATCTAGGTTAAGAAGATAGGGTCAGAAGTGGGAGTAAAAAAAAGATCAGGTAGGTTACTCAAAGATAGAAGTGTAATTATACCCAAATACCCAAACCAGTCAGGTCTGGTCAGTTCTGCGTGGGAAAAGTTACCACAGAAGCAATTGAGGCACACCTAGGGTATTAAACATGCCAGGTAGTTTTGGGTGTAAGGACGTATAACGTGTGTTCTGCAAATTGTATGTACAGTGCTCAGCATAAATGAGTACACCCCGTTTGAAAAGTAAGATTTTTTAATCAATGTCTCAATAATTTCTTGTTTAGCTCATTACATGAAATTAAGGTTAATAATATAACTTAGATTACACAATCTTCAGTTTTACTCAAATGAGTTGATACAAAAATGAATACACCCCACAACAAAAACTATTACATCTAGAAGTTTGTATAACTTCCATGATTTGTAAGGACAGCACCATGTCCTCTAGGGATGGAATGAACAAGTTGGCGACATATTGCAACATCTATCTTTTTCCATTGTTTGAGAACAACTTATTTTAGATCCTGGATGCTGGATGGAGAGTGATATTCAACTTGTCTCTTCAGAATTCCCAGTAGGTGTTTGATTGGGTTCAGATCAGGAGACTTAGATGTGTCATTGTAATGTTGGAAACGGAGTGATGGTAGCATCTTCTCTTTCAATATAGAGCAGTACATCTGTGATTTCATGATACATAAATGAAATGCAGTTCTCCGACACCAGGAGCACTCACGCAGTTCCCCAGAAGGACACTGCCACCCCCATGTTTCACTGAGGGCATGCATTTTTCTTTGTACTCCTCACCTTTGCCATACAGTTTTGAAGCCATTAGTTCTAAAAACATTTATCTTGGTTTCATCATTCCAGAGTACAGCGTCCCAGTAGTCTTCTTCCTTTTTAGCAAAAGCCCTGGCAAATTCAAGGCAGGCTTTTTTGTGCGTGAGCTTTGGGAGAGGCTTCCTTCATGGACGACACCCATTCATGCCATTCCTCTGCAGTGTACGCCATATTGCATCACGGGAAACAATCACCCCAATTTGACTTTCTACTTCTTTAGCTAACTGCAGTGAACTTACATGGCGATTTTCTTCAACCCTTCTCATCAGAAGACGCTGCTGTCGAGATGTTAACTTCGTGGAAGTTTCTGTGAGATGGTTGCAGTCCCATCTTTGTTAAATTTTTGTATCAGTTTTGCTACAGTATTCTGACTGATAAGTAAAGCTTTGCTGATCTTCTTGTAGCCTTCACCTTTCTTGTGTAAAGAAATCATTTTCTTTCTCAGGCCTTGTGACATTTCACTTCCATGTGGTGCCATTGCTGACAGCAGGAAATGGGAAGGGGTTTTCTTTAAGTAGCGCCCTTTTATAATCAGCTGTCTTGTGGACACCTGTTTAATGAATAATTAGACTCATCTGCAGTTGAATACTTGTTAATTAGGATATTGTTGTTTAAAATTTAGCTTTGCACCTAAGACTTTCATTTGAGTGTATTCATTTTTGCAACATGGTCTTGATTTAATTTTTTAGGAAAAAAATTTTTTGTGTGTGCAAATTAACAAATCTTGTTTGCAATCAGTGGCCCCCGTTTGTGGGAGTATTTTGTAGTATAGTGTCCCATAGAAAAAGGTTGATTCAGAAAGGAAAGGTTCTCTGACAAATCTTGGGGTGTACTCATTTATGGTGAGCGCTGTAACTATATTGTAAAAAAGAGCAAACCCAACAGACTGAAAACATTTCTTTCCTATTGAGTCATTTCCCTTTTAAGAAAGGCACAGAAGTATATAATATAAGAATTAATGGTGCACCGAAATGAAAATTCTGGTGCCGAAACCGAAAATTCAAAATGCACTTGGCCGAAAACCGAAATGCACAGTTTTTAAAAATTAATGTATATTTTTTGGAAACAAATACACTTTGATTAAAAAAAACAATATATACCCCAATTGTTTTGTAAAATATGTAAGAGGATGGTACGGTGAGTAAATAGATACCCAACATGTCACGCTTTAAAATTGTGCACGCACCACACCTAAAGTCTTATTATATTGCCTCTCTTATCGACCAACTTTATTTTTGGTGGAACCCAACTAATGAAAAATCGTGGTCCCTCATGGAAACACTTTTTCTCTTTCCTCTCACACCATGCAATCTACTCCTCCTTCCACATATACCTCCACCTAAACCACTACTTAAACACCCATATATCAAGGCCTCCCTTCAAGCATGGTATGACATCCAATCGTCTAAATCTCTAGAAACCAAACTAGTACATTCCCCACTCAATACGCTACTCCTAACTACACCCTCCCTAAACCTACAACGATGGGACAATTGTGGTATAACTCGTATACAGGACCTATGCATAGACCATAAACTAAATACTTTTTCGACTCTACAAAATAAATTTAACCTTCCCAACACTGAATACTTCACCTACTTGAGAATAACACACTCTCTACAAACAACAAAAATCCCGCTCCTTTCAAAAATCCCCTCGACCGCATATAATTTTTTCAACAAAGCAAAATACCCAAAAAAAGGCATCTTAATTTTTTATGCTCACACAACAAATACACACTTTACCCTACACACCACATCCCTAACCAACTGGGAGAAAATTTTCTTGCATCCAATAACATTACAAAATTGGGAAAATATCTTTAAAACTACATACAAAGCGTCCAAATGTAGCTCACACTGGGAATCTTATATGAAAATTTTACACAAATGGTACTTAACACCCACCAAACTCTCTCTATACTGCCCAAAGCATTCCCAAGCTTGTTGGAGACTCTGCGGTGAACCGGGATCCACATTCCACATATATATGGATGTGTAAATCACTCAGATCCTACTGGAATAAAATCTTTCAGTTGATCTCAACACTTACGGGAACTCCAGTTGCCCCAAACCCTGCCCTAGCCCTTCTGCACATTGGAATAATCGATTTCCCAAAAGACTCTCGTACCGTCATTATCCACACCTTGGCAGCTGCCAAAATTAATATCACTAAACTATGGAACACCACTAAAACTCCCTCTATCAACTCTCTAATAACAGACCTCAATTTCCAATGCGATATGGAAAAAAGATCAGCCCTTAATAACTCCACATATCACTCATTCAAATTTCATTGGTCCCGCTGGTTACAAAACCCAAACTGCTCTGTTAAATCCTGATACACCATTCTTCTGTTTAACATTTAGAACCTTATCCCTAGACTGGCGCACTTTCCCCTCCCCCTTCCTCCTCCCCATCACTTCTTACACTCCTTTCCCTCACCCCCCCCCCCCCCTCTACGTTGCAACCTGCTCACCATAACACGGTTCAGATCTAACATAATATACCTCTCATGACTATACATTACAACCTATATAATCCCCAGCCAATTGGTGGGTATTCTTCAACAAAACAATATGTATTGTTAATCCTACTATGAACCGTATTGCAGTATTGTATTTTTCTGTTATGTCAAAATCCTTTAATACAAATTATTGAACTATAAAATCGTGCACGCTCGTGGAATGGCATGAAGCTGCGGTACATAAAAATCTCCATGGGTGATGCTTTAAAAATTTTTGCAAGTTAGCAGTGTAAAGTTACAGAGGAGGTCCAGTGCGAGAATTATTGCTCTTGCTCTGACGTTCATGGCGATACCTCACTTGTGTGGTTGAACACCATTTACATATGTGGGCATGGCCTAAGTATGCGTTCACCACTATGTGTGAGCACAAGGGGATGGGGGCACTTTAAACTTTTTTAAAAAATATTGTAATCAATTTTATTCTGATCACAAGAAATGCATGCATCCCTTGTGACAGAATAATTAATTGTGACAGGTCCTCTTTATCGAAAGATGCGGGGTCAATAAGACCCCACATCTCCCCTCTGCAATGTAAAGGATTGGAACAAAAAAAAAAGCATTGATCTGGTTCCGGCCATTTTTTTTTAAAGCACTAGAAGTGACATTGCTCCGTTTCTCCACGGGCATAGAGATGTGTGGTGGCCATCTTTACTTCACTCATCTCTATGACCAGCGTCGGCATCGATGGTTTCTCAGGTAAGACTGAACTACCAAATGGCGGGTGGCGGTGAGGGATGGGAGGCTTTGAGGGGCGAGGTTTTTTTTTTTTTCGGCACCCGTATCGGTGCTTTTTCGTTTTCATTTCGGCCGACAGCCGAAAGGGGTGTTTTTTTTGGCTGAAACATTTCGGCCACCGGAATTTCGGTGCATCCCTAATAAGAATCTTTATTGTCCACTGAACACCATAGGAGGCATGGGCCCAAGGATCAGCCCCCTACAATATGTGACAGTGGGTGGGGTGTGGGGGCTGTGTACGGGTAAAGGAGAAGAGGAGGTTCAACCCATCCAGGGAATCGCTGTTGTGTCCTCCTTAGCTATGCACTTTGAATTGTGGCTGCGTGTACAAGGAGAAAATCCCTGGCTTGCTGCCACAAGGAGGTGGGGAGAGGGGTCTAAAGCTGAACATGTTACATGGTACACTCTAAATATGGCTGTAACATGTTTAGAAAGGTGAACTTATCCTTTAAGAACATTTCAACTGTGCAAAAAAACAGGTAACCAACCCTCCTTTCCCTTGTAATAATTTAAAAGCTTCTTGCCAATATGCATTTTCAGTTATTGGCAATGCTGACACAGAAGGTTATATTACTCTTGCAAGAGCTTAATCAATTTCCTCTTGATTTTCAAGTGTCATTTTCTCTATAAATGAAGGTATTGTGTATTTTTGTGAGAGTGGTTTGCAACACTTCCTTAAAGTGTTACTAAACCCGGGACCCTGCATTCACTATATCTGGTCTCACACAGAACATGGTAATGCAATTATTTTACTAAATATAAACTGCTAAATACCTTTTCTCATCAGGAGTTAGAGCAGTCTTGTGATGTCTATCAGTGTCCAGCAGAGCACATGTTAAAGCTTGTAGGAGGTGTTTACATTCTACTCTATTAGTATGCAGAACCCCTGACCTTTGTCTGGACAGTGCTGATTGGCCCTCTGCTGATCACAAGCACTGTCCCAAGAAAAAAAAAAACCCTCTCTAGCAATACACATCAAACTGAACTTGTGCAGAGTGTCTCCACACATTTTGCATTTCTGGGTAGGGGGCGCGCCATTCATGGCCACGGCTGTTAATCACCAGGTTCCGGGTGGTGATTACTTGCCGGCGCCTGGTGATTACCGAGGATTTCCGACGGGGAGGAGAACTGTTTTGTTTACGAACAATTCTCCCTGTCAGCTCGAGCAGAGTGCTTTAGATGGCTGTTCACAGCACAGCCATCCAAAGCAGTGTGCTTACAGTGAAGCACACAGACACCGCCCCATAGTAAAACACACTGGAGATGTCAGTGACACCAAGTCAGTTCCCCCTAAGTGTCAGAATGTCTGCCACAGTCCTGATGAGTCGCTAATCGCCGCCATTACTAGTAAAAGTAAAAAAAAATAATAAAAAAATCCCAGTGTGTATTTACCTCCATTTATAAATGCTATACCTTTCATGTAAACCAATTAATTTACACTTATTGGGATTTGTTTAGCAAAGACATGTAGCAGAATACATTTTGGCCTAAATTTATGACAAAATTAGATTTTTTTAAATTTTTTTCCTGGACATGTTTAATAGCAAAAAGTCAAAAATATAATTTTTTTTTCCTCCAAAATTGTTGGTCTTTTTTTTTTTTTTTTTTTTTTATAGCGCAAAAAATAAAAATCGCACAGGCGAGCAAATACCACCAAAAGAAAGTTCAATTCATGGGAAAAAATGGACTTATGTAATATAAGTCAGTTAAAGTTACGCAGCGCCGTAAATGCAAAAAATCACCTGGTCAGGAAGGGGGGTAAATCTTCTGGAGGGAAAGTGGTTAAAGGTTAAAAAAAAGATAAACTAATGTGTCATACAAATGAACCCTCTTGTTTATCAGTTAAGGCCTGATAGGACAAAAAGTATTATCAACTGTAGGACGTACAAGATAGAGCCCACACGCAAATATACTGGAGCTTTTCCCCTGCAGTGCCCGTTAGTGGCAGAAATCATATTTCTCTTGTTTGAGAACTGCATTGAGAAGTACAGTGTTACTTGAACTGTA